ATTGTAAATGAGCAAGAAGTAAATCGACAATTTGTCGTGAAAGACGTCTCCATTTATCATCTTCAATTTGAACACTATTAACAAAAACTGTGAACAATCGTAAAGCCTATAACAATATAAATTCTATTATTATTTTTTCAGTACATACACAGGACATGAAAAGATACTTTTATTTATAATAATTAAGACGCCTAGTTTTCCTTCAAACTCAAATACATAACAACAAGATGATTATTTTCAGATCATCGATTCGTTGAAGTGTGGGCGTGGGTTCAATCGAGGAGAAAAATCACATCTACACACCCACACTCACGCCCTCTCGAGTTTCTAAGATATTTGAGACTTTGTAGAAGGACACTTTTTGTTCACTCTCATTTAATAGAACTTTTTAGGAATTTTAATTATTCGCATAACTCGAACAAGAAAAAAATCATATAAAACTGGTTCTAATGCTGCCAAAGTTAAATAAAGAATTTTAACGATAATTTCTTTTTCTCGAAAATGTTTTTTTTTTACTTCCTACCATGTGTTTCAGGTTCATGTCCACTTGCGAATAATGAATCATAATGTTTTATTAAATCTTGTATTTTAATAACTTGTTTTGAATGAAGTGTATCATGTGATAACATAACAAGAAATTCAGCAATACAATAGATAAAATGCCATTCAAAAATAAACGAAACGATTAGAAATGCAACGAATTTCATCAGCTTCTAATCAACTATAATTAACACGAATTAAAAGTAATTGAACAAGTAAATTGAGTACAGCAGCTTGAAAATCACTTTCACTTCTATTAATATATTTTTTAAGACTAATTTTATAGTTCAATAAAAACTAAAATAGAAAACAAAAACAACAGAATAGATCAAATTCATTTTTTTGTTTATTTTACTCTCGTATTGCACTATTTATACTTGATGCATAACATGAACTAAATAAAATAAATTATCGATTGTCGAATACTTATTGTATGAATATAAGTTAAAGAATTATTTAATGATACTTGTGAAGA